CATCCATCCATCCATCCATCCATCCATCCATCCATCCATCCATCCATTCATTGTGTTTATTAAACAAAAATGTTTATATGGCTGCCCAACTCTCACAGGTAACTCTGGGCAGCTTACAGTATAAAACCATAATATGAAAACCATCACCAATTGACCCACCCTTCCCCAATGGCAGTGAAAACACAATCAGATCAATCACTTGAGTGGCTCTATCTCAATTCAGGGCTACCAGGCTGGCTGACAAAATAATGTATTCAGGGCCTTTTAGAAAAATAATGTGGGAACTAATCCTTCCAATGGAGTATTGATGATCTATGGAAGTGTTCCTAGCAAGAAGGCCCTTTATTGTGGTCTCACTAGGTGTACATATCTAATAGATGGGATGTGCAACATATCTTGCCTTACCATCCTGGTGGGCCAGATCCCAGGTGGATATAATGAGGGAGACCCTGTCCTTTTTTCAATATATATTTTCTACTTACTTTTATTGTTACCCTTTTTGCTTTGCAATGAATTCCCTAAAAAGATTAATAATTACACCACAATGAAACTCTATCTAAGCATATTTTTCAGGAGCCAAGGGTTGGCTTGAGGATTCAGCTTCCCTAGCAGACAAGAACCAAAGAGTCCAGGAGACAATGTATTTTCTGCTGGGGTTGGAGTATTTTCTACTTTTTTCTGATGTCTCCAAATAGAGTGAATTATTGCCTCTGATGAAAGCTATCTTTGCCCTACTGCTTCTTCTTCCAAGCACTCTCAATCATTTCTACATCAATCTTCAGCATTACTCCCAAACGTCTGGAGGGGGGAAGCTTGTACCACATCCAAACAGGAGGAAGAACCTAAAACTGTTTCCAAGTGCAAGATTTATTAATGTAAACCCCACTTCACTATAGCTCTAGGTAATATTACAGACACCTTCATATAATTTTCTTGACAATGATACATACGTGATTTACCAGACATGTCTTCCATGGTATTTATTTCAATTTTCTAATGATGTACACAACCTTGAGATCTCCTAATGATGTCTGTTCAAGTCCAAACAATGTCTGGATCTGCTTCACCTTTGAGGTCAGTCAGTATCAATGAAGGACTGCCACATAACTGTGCATACAGCTTATCATTTCTTAATGGGAAATGAGGAAAAAGTAATTTAGAAACAATTGATTGCTGTTTCCCCCAGGAACAGTAAAAAAAAGTTACTCTTAGATTTTTTTTAAAGTTGGAAGTTATCCCCTGCAGTATTTTTAATTTAAGCAACCAGGGGTGGGATTCTACCTGGTCGGACCAGTTCTATAGAATCGGTTGTTATGATTCTGCCCAGGTCGGAGAACCGGCAAATCGCGCCACTGGTTGGCCGCACCCCTCTCCTCCCCGCCCACTCACTCCTTACCTGGCATGTGCGCCATCCAACTTGCCTGTGTT